TTCAAGCGAGATATGGAAGAAATATAGTAACGGTGTTAACATAGATTGAAACGCAATGATTTTTCTTTGATTACGCTATTCAAGTCGTATCTTGATATTCCCCATGGCGCTACCTGCCGATGCTGGCGATATGTTTTTTAACTACAGACATTTTCCGCATTCAAGCTTGCTCATTGGACGATAATGAAATAGGATTCAGATAAGCGACATAATAAAGCTCAAACTGGTATAGTATAGATTATGGTCTAGTACAAATCCTCAGGCATAGTAAATATAGTGACTTAAATATCTAGGTTAGATCCTGTTTATCTTTTTAGGTTGATAATATACAGTAACTAAAAATTCTAGAATGAATTGCTAATAGGGAAAATTTTCAAAACGTGTAGCTTTGAACTAAAGCAATATTTAAAAATGCGCCTAGATGGGACATTATTTGTGACGATATGTGACCTACGTCTTTATATCTGTATTACAGCGGGCGAATTCGTGTTCCCAAAATCGGTAGGCAGGATTTCGCAACAGCTCCGCTGAAGTCATCAATAAGCCCCAAGGATGAGGACGATTAACAATCAGACGCTCCATAAGTACACGACTTATTTGTTCTTTTACTTGTTCCTTGGATTGTTCCGAAAAAAGGTACAATATTGTGTATGAAAAATAGTAGGTGTGAGAATTCGGATAACGCAACTGGTTGGCCATGCAGTTGAGCAGCAGATAGCGGCCCTCATTGTCCAAGTTGAGCACAAGACTCTGTATAATGTCCATTTGTGGAGTGTGCGCGATAGTGCTCATATTTAGAGGCATACCCTTATCACGAAGGCTTTTCAATGCCGTAATGCAAACATAAAGTGTGAGATTGGTCATCAACTCTACGTTGTAGTGCATTCCATCTCCTGATTCAAATGCTCCGAGGGGTACCAAGCCGGTGACACTAGAGTTAGTGGTGGGGCAAGTTCCAATTGAACCGGCACTAGAAGGTGGGACAATACCTGAGGGCAAACCAGCGGATCCTGAAGTAGTTGAGCCGGGACCATTGACTGCGGCCGCAGCGGCCGCCGCCGCTGCAGCCCAAGCAGCAGAAGAGCCAGCTGAATCCCCAGAGATTGATGTGCCACCTGTGAGATAACGATTAGCCATAGCAGGGTGAGATGATTGGTCAAGATTTAGAGCCGAAAACGCGGAGGGTAATGAAGTCATTGAGAAAGTTTTCCCAGAATCAGGCGAGCGTTGACCAACTGAATAAATAAAGTAATTTTATAAGGAAAAAAATTTGTTAATAAGAGAAATCGAAGAAAAAATTAACTTGTCTTTACATAATCAGAAAATAAGGTTAACATATAATTCACTTCATCTATTGGATTGTTATAATACCAGTCCTCACCAATTACGAAAATTCGACCAAGTTACAAAACGAGCTAAAATCATTTCGAAAATATTCAATGGAATTGTAGGAAATCATAGTTAATTAAATTCAATGGATGGGTCTACATAGAGCAACATTTATATAACATTAAAATAATTAACCCTGAATTTAATTTACCCAGCAAGGCTGAAGCAACCGAAGTTATACCTCGCGTAGCTGGCCCTGTATTTGTAGTTTGAGAAGGAAGAGAACTGTTGGCCTCGAAATGAGTTATTGTGACTTCCTGACTCGACTTGCCTTGTTCCACTTTTGATCCTCCGTGTGTCTTCTCTTTTTTTTCTTCTGTGAAGGAAGATTCAGCGAACTCATTTCCAACAGACGACATAACGCCAGGTGTGTCCTATCAATTAATGACACAAGGATAAATTAAATTCATCTCTGAACAATAATAATAATAATGACATTGAATAAATGGTCTGTGAATGCTTAGAATGATCTTAGCAAGTAGTATTTATAAATGTATGAAACCAATACATTTCAGTGTTTTGAATCTTGAATTTGAACTGAATTCAAGGAAAGGGGAATACAAATTATAGAAGATACTATAAAGAAACATGCAAAAGACAATAAATAATATAGAAGTTGTTTGACCTTGTTTTCCCAACTTGGTCATATTGGTAGGAAGGCTTATAGGAACGCACATTGTCCTGAGTCAATTATATGCATAATTATTTCCAAAGTCGGACCGTGGACGCGGTGCAT